CAATGTAACACCTGATTTGTGGTCGTTGTCTGACGTTTCCCCCAAGCAGCCCGTGATGCTTGCTAGTGGATTCAAGTTCGTGCATCACAGTTAAGACTGTTGTGCGTTTAATTCATTAGAAACAGCAGTCAGGGACTAAAAACGATGCTGTGATGTTAACTCTACACCGCCTGCATTTGCTCTTTTTAAACGAGACCTAATTGACGGGGGTTTTGAACCCACCTGGTGTATTCTGTATAATGCTTTACGCCAAGTTTATTAACAGAATGCCACTGTACAAACGCAACATAATATTATATAATTGATCTACGCTTAGTATTTTCTGACGCCACATTCCAAAAGAACATGTTGATCCTCTTTTGCCTCCCCCTAGCTGTTTCTAAGAATAATTTATCTCCGCACCAGCGTTTTGCTTCATCTGTGAGTGTCTACTCTGGCTGGTTTCCATGACAGCTTTATCCAGTTTTACATGACTTACTTCATTCTCTATACCTATAAAGTAACATAGGACCTCTCGACATACTTGTGGTCGTCTCTGAATAACCTCTAGGCCAAACCTGTCGTTGTATATTGTAGAGGTGATTGCACGTGATCAAGTATGACCTATCTTATAGGTCCTACTTGCTTTGTTATGGCTTAGAACCATAATAGGGCTGCATGACCTTTGGAGGTCCCGTGTTGGTTTATGGTGGTATTTAAATTGTTCTTTACAAGGTACAATCTTTGCCATTGTAGTTCTTTTTTATTGTTTGTGTTACTTTAAATCAATTAGTATATTCGTTATTAATGTGTGCACCTTTCAGTGCCCTTAATCGCTGTTCTCCACATTCCCATGACATATCCATTAACGCTACACCGTGCAGAAATTTACAAATAACATATAAATCCTTTTTTAAATGGAATTTTCATTATTCAGCACTATGCAGTAATAAAGCGCCAACATATTCCGAGAAAATTTCAAATGCTCATGTCCGTTCGAGCGTGTGTATTGTTGCTTATTCTGGTGTGCAGCGCAGCACACTAAGTACACAGACTTCTTTGTATGCAAATGTCAGCTGCCGTAAGTGCAAAAACCTGCATTCAAAACCTCGTGTTTGCATGTTCCAGGAAAGCCTAAAATAGGTAAAAAAAATGCCAGTGTTTAGCTTGGCCAGCAGAGTTTAAGCTTGCTATTGGCAATGTATAAGCTGATAATGAAATACATTAGTCATTTGTGAAGTGCTGTGTTTTTTAACACCATTTTTATGTAACTGGTGACATTAAATTGCATTACATTTTAACTTGTCTTGAGTTTCAAGGTTAATAATCTGTAATTCACTTGCACCGATATGTAAAGTCTTGAAAAATCTCTCATTTTAAATGACATGCCAAACAAATATGCTATAGAGTTGAACTGACTTTTCTTATGTCGCCCACAAAAATAAATTACTGGATAGTACTGCTGTCGAAGTAATAACACCCATTTTATTTTGCATGAAATAGCATCCCATTTATTGATGGCATTTTTACTAACTTATGAAGAAAAAAAATCTCACAATTGCAAAATACTAAATACATGAGTGTAATTAGTACAGACCCATAAAAAAAACTTGGTCAACATGATCTACGAACCAGAACCCACATTTTCCAGTCCCCATTATTGGCACATTACACCCGAGCAATGAGCTAGAAATGGAGAAAAAAAATATCAACGTTCTTATGTCTTCAGTTGCTTGTTAAACGATTGAAAAATGGGAAAAAGTCCGGCGGTTTGAAAAGCGGAACCTGAGTTGTGATCAGCTTCACCACTCAAACCGCAGGGGGTTTTGGAGCAACGGCTGTGCAGTTGAGACAGCACCCAACTGATCATTCATTCACTTTCAACAAAAATTGATGAATACAATTTCAGGACCCTTTTATGATGGCATCTGCCATATAAGATGGTGTTAATATTGTAACAAAAAAATTTAAATTGGATAATATATATCTTTTCATATATATATAAATCAGAATGAATTACATAGCATTGCATTTTGAGACATATAGGAATATTTCCAAGGCTATATTAAAGAAAAATGTAATATGAATTTGACGTAACCATCTGATATGTTATCCTAACTATAGATTAATTTGTGAATTATGGATAAATTGTAATACATATAACAGAAGCAGATAGAGCGGTTTCTACCAGTATTTAAAATGCCATGCAAAAACCAACACAAATGTGTTGCGCTCACAAATACTAAGCGTAGATCAATTCTATACATCCACTCTCTTCGGACGAGTGCTATTAGTGAGCACCTATTGATGTTGGCACGGCATACGAGGGGGTGGTGTGGTCACCTTTATAACTCCAGGGCCGATGATGACACCGTGTGAGTTACCCTGCAATAATACTGTAATTATACATTTATGGCTTCATTAGTTTGACATTTATCCCAGACCAACACCGGGTTTTCGTACCTTTTGTAAGTGGAGTGCATAATCAGGCATCGAAATAGAGTATATGGACTGGGTATTTCAGCACTTCGCCACAATATATATCCCACAGTCAACGCTCTTGCACTCACAGTTGACCCACACATCCACAGACGCAATTGAACACACGGTGCACTTAAACAATAGTACCCACACACGATTTCTAACAACACGTTATTAGGCTGGTCTGGTGCTTCACTAAGTCGACTGAGCCTAGAATGAGGACCTGCTGGGGTGGGTCAAAGTCAGCACTGGGGAGACAAAGGCAGCCAAGTATGTTGCGTGCTGACTCCACCACCGTTGTTATACCATGCTGGCCGAAATGAGTGCTTGCACACACACGACAAAGACCCAACCGTGTAGCCTCAACAGACTGTTGGGGAAAGTGCTGTTACTGAGCACCTATGAAGGCAAGCAAGAGGGGGTGGGTGGCCAGTACAACGTCCGGACGCCTTTGTCTCCCCAGTGGCGATGTATACACACCGCACCAGGCACATATTTGAGGTCGAGTCGATCTAGGCGAGGCCAAAGACCGGTTAAAAAAAATTCTCACTGGTGTCGGCCGTGAGCAGGAACCGAACCCAGGTCGCTGGGTTCATAGAGCAGTGCGCTAAGCACTAAAACTCCCGCTCCCCAAAAGCACACAGCCACACACACATAACAAAAAAATCAACGGCCACATGGATCACAAAATCAAAAAGCTCCCAGTTCGTTATTTTCACGCTCATTATTTTTACAGCTGTCAAACAAGCGCGCGTAATTCAATACTTCGCAGTTCCACCAGGGTGCTCATACACTTGATATGCACAACGGGCTGACCTTGCTGATTGTATTTAATTCATCAGCTAGCGCGTAGTGGTTATCCAGTGCTGGATGAAGACCTTCTCAAGCCGTCGGCGTCTATCGCTACTATCCTGCGATGTGGTAGTTAATACTTATAGGAGTCCACCCTGGTACCTGCGCGCGAGCGGATTTAATCGCTCCATCTCCGCGTTGGATGTCCTCTCGTCGGCCACAATCCCGAGGAGCAACGTTGTCTTGCCCATGCGTCATTTAATTTAATTTTCTTCAGTCATAATTGTCGTTCATCTGCATGTGTCCTATAATCCACGTTGTCTAATCCACGTCTCGCATGGATTACGCATATCGATTAAATGTAAGGAACGTGTCTCTCCTCCCTCTCCACGCTATTCTTTTGGTACTTTAAAGTTTTTGTTCCATTTTTTTGGTTTAATTTCCATGTTTCTGGTCATATTATAGAGTATGCGTTTAATTAAAATAAAAGTTATTCCGTATTTAAAACAGTGCCCAATTAAGATGCCGTGTTGGCAGTCTGCACAAGAAGAGATGAATATTAATTAAAAAGATCCCCTTTTACCAAATTTGCAATTAGCACTGCCTTGCAAAAATATACTTTGAGTTCAAAGGTTCTGGTAATATCCCATTTTTATTCAGAGCAGGCATACAATTTAAAGATCTGACAGTGGTAGATCACACTTTACACTCTCCAGGATGTTACCTTGAAAACATTGGGAGATTTCACGTTGAATTATTAAGGATATTTTGAATTGTTGTTGTGCAGTGTCACATTAGCAGATACTATATCAGGTACAGGAGTAAACACATCATCAATAAAAAAACAAGATTCACTGATTTAAAATAAAAACACGTGTCAATTTCTGACTGCAGAACTGCGAATGTCAGCTTAAAATGAAATGCATAGCTATGGTTTTTTTCATTATTTATGAAAAAGGGCGGGTGCCCGAAACGTCGCCTATTAAAAAACTATATCTCTACTTTTATGGCAGCGTGTTAATGACGCTCACGTTGAGCGTTTTTTGTGTAATTGTTCACCATTGCCAAAGCAGTATCACCGAACAACAATTCAAGTTATTTTTTTCTCCCCATTTTAAGAACCGTGCGAGAAAGCTTGAGTTTGGGGATGCGAACTCGTCCGTTCACCGCTTGACGGCTCCAACGCACAGAGCAGGAGCAGGGGGCGGGGCCGCACGTGTACCCCCCCCCCGCCCTCTCCCCGTAACCCCGCCTCTACCCACCCACGTAACTCCGCCCCCTTCCCCACCATAACTCCGCCCACCTAATTAATATTCGCGACAACACGCGCGTGCCCTCCAATCTTGACGCGCGCTTTTCACGCGTGACGTCACGCGCCTTGCGGGGTGGGGGGGGGAGCCGGTTAAGACGATGGGCGGTGTTTGGTGGGGGAGGGGCGGATCTGTCGCGCGCGTGACGTGACGTCTCCACAACCCCCCCCACCCATAGTCGCGCGCGCACTAACGACGTCGCGCGCGCTCGACGGCCGTCGCGACCAATGGGGGAGGCGCGGGTGGCGCTCTTCGACCCCCCCCCCCCCCCGGGGCGAGGGGGGGCGGGGTCTTCGCGCCGGTGACGTCACAAAGCGCAGTTGGCGGGGCGCGCGCGCGGCGTGTGCACCGCTTTTGTTCTGCTCGCCGCCTCCGCCGCCGCGCGCGCTCGCGAACATCAAACTCTGGTTGTTGTTATTATTGATTACAATTTACAGTGTCAAATTGTTTTTTTTAATTAGCGTCTTTATTATATATATTTTTTGGAGGAGGAGGGGGGGGTTACGTGTGATTATTATTAGCATTATTTTTTTTAAGGAAGATTCGTCCGCAAGCCGCGGGCTCTATGTTTACATCTCGAACCACGCAAATCTGGTATATTGATAATGATACAGTGCAGACCCGCATTCATTGTTGTTGGTGGCAGTGCCGATAATGTTATTATTTTGAGTTAATGGACTCGCTTTGTAATTCTGATGTCTGCGCCTTGTGTCAACCCTCTTACTCTCTCTGTCCTCCTTCCAACCACGACCAAACTTTAACCCTTCATTAATAAAACTCACATAATACAAAATACACGCGCATACGTAAACACGCGTAACGTACATTCACATACACGCACGATAAACACGTACACTTCACATACAATACACATATACAAATAAACACATGTATAATACGCTGACAATACACGGCCAAACGTACTTCGCATACCATATACTTAAACAATGCATGCACTCTGTATGCACTACACCGCTGACTCACTGACTGCCATACACTAATCACATGCATATACAATGACACACACACACTTTGACACATACACTAACACACACACACTTTGACACACTGACACACGTTGGCACACTGACACACACTAACACACACACTTTGACACACTAACACACACTAACACACACTTTGACACACTAACACACACACTAACACACACACTGACACACACTAACACACACTTTGACACACTGACACACACACACTGACACACATTACAGATGTATCGCGAAAGGCGCTCGCACGCACCGCCTCCCCTAGCTAGAGCCGTGGTCGCCGGGAATCGTCTCCTCGTCCACCACCAGCACCACCACCACCAGCACCACCACCAGCAGCAGCACCACCACAAGCAGCTTCACCAACACCTCTCAGCGTCATGCCGAGCTCGCTTTTCGCAGACATGAAACAGCGAGGAGGCGGCAGCAGCAGCAGCGGCGGCAGCAGCGGCGGCAGCAGCAGCGATGAGCTGGGCGTGGGAGGAGGAGGTGGAGGTGGTGGTGGTGGAGTCGGTCTCGGTCATCGCCACCTCCACCCCGAATCGTTCGACGAGCGCCGGGCGTTGCAGATCGCCCTGGACCAGCTGAGCCTGCTGGGACTCGACGGGGTCCCGGGACCAGGACCTGGGCCGGCTCCAACAGCAGCGGCAGCAGCGGCAGCTGTAGGAGCTGGTGACAGCAGCAGCAGCAGCAACGGCGGCGGTGGTGGTGGTGGTGAAGATGTAGAGGTGGAGATGGAAGATGATGAGGATGATGAGGGTCATCATCAGCAGCAGTCGTCTGTGAGCCACGCCGCGCTGCTGCTGTTTGGAGGGGGTGGAGGAGGAGGTCTGGGAGGCGTCGGAGTCCTGGACTCGGGCTCCTGCAAGCGAGGCCACAACACCACAGAGTGCGTGGCGGTGCCCAGCTCGGAGCACGTCGCAGAGATCGTGGGCAGGCAGGGTGAGAGGAGTGCACGTCGCTGACGCCTTGCCCGGGGCCCTTTGTTGTTGGTGGTGTTGTTTGATGGTGGTGGTGTTGGTGTTGTTGGTGGTGGTGGTGTTGTTGTTGGTGTTTGATGGTGGTGGTGTTTGATGGTGTTGGTGTTTGATGGTGGTGGTGGTGTTTGATGGTGGTGGTGTTGTTGTTTGATGGTGGTGGTGTTTGATGGTGTTGGTGTTTGATGGTGGTGGTGTTGGTGTTTGTGTTTGATGGTGTTGGTGTTTGATGGTGTTGGTGTTTGATGGTGGTGGTGTTGGTGTTTGATGGTGGTGGTGTGTGGTGGTGGTGTTGGTGTTTGATGGTGGTGGTGGTGTTGGTGTTTGTTGGTGGTGGTGTTGGTGTTTCATGGTGGTGGTGTTGGTGTTTCATGGTGGTGGTGGTGGTGTCTGGGCTGCACGTACGCTTCTTACACTGTACTCATTGATGCACACACACATAGTACACTGGACGTGTACACACACATAGTACACTGTACGTTTACACACTTACATAGTACACTGTACGTTTACACACTTACATAGTACACTGCACATGTACACACACATAGTACACTGCACGTGTACACACACACATAGTACACTGCACGTTTACACACACATCACACGCGTTACAGATGTATACACATTACATTCACCGGTTTACACCCATTACACACATTCATATAGACTACACACGTTTACTAACTTTCGTTTACACTGTACAAAGACAAAGATCCCACGTGTAGCCTTAGCCAGACTGTTGGGGCAAGTGCTGTTAGCACGGTACACGAGGGGGTGGGTGGCCAGCACCACGCCCGGCCGCCTTTGTCTCCCCAGTGACGATGTTTACTACACACCGCACCAGGTACTCGTTTTTTAGGCTGAGTCAACCTAGGGGATGCCCAGGCCCGGTTCAGATATCCGTCACACTGTACTCGCACATTTAACACACATACACGTACATGCTACACACACATCACACGTTACAGATGTATACACATTACATTCACCGATTGATACATTACACACATTCATATAGACTACACATTTACACACTTTATTACATAGCATATATTGATTGATGTACTGTATACATTTACACCCATACATACGTTCTTTGATATTTACAGGAGTGTACATTTACACACTTATACGCATTCTTATGTGCACAGTATACACACTCGCTGATGCATATATTCAGTGCATCATCCATAGAGTGCATGCACAGTACACATTTAAACGTGCACAGGCATACACATTGACACGGGTACATTCAGAGTAACAGGAATAATAACATATACCCGCATGCGCGCATTCTAACGTACTGTAAACATACAGTGTACTGTACTCGCACGTGTGTGTCAGCCCACACACCTGCACGCACTACGCCCACTGTATGTGGGGCACACGGGTACACAAGTAGGAACGCGCACGTGTCTTCCTGTTACGGTCACACGTTGCAAATGTATGCTCGGAGGTGAACACGGGCAGTAAGAGTAACCAATATACTCATTCGCCGAAACGGCACAGTGTACTCGCCTTCAACCACGCCCGGCCGCCTTTGTCTCCCCAGTGGCGATGTTTACGCCCGGCACCAGCTGCTTATTTGAGGCCGAGTCGACCTAGGGGATGGCCCTGTTACCCGGTTAAAACAGTCGTCTGGAAATATATACACGTGCATTAATACACACACACACGCGCGTGTAGCCAGCCACGCATTCTTAAAGTCTCAGACGTTCTTCATGTGCAGATGTCAACGTGCATACTTTCACACGAGTAGACACGGAGCGACCTTTATACATTCACGTACATCGATCATACATATATTGCTAAGTTCATACACGTGCATCATTCATTCCGTCGGCCTTATGCAGGACAGTTGCTGTTAGTGAGCATCTGTTAAGTACAGCATGGTCACAGTAACGTTCTTATGTATACATGTACATGTAGCCTGCCTGATACGTGTACCCCAACAAGCACATGTGTACATACACCGAGACAATTCACGTAAACGGCGTAGTGGCTGACTATCATGTCGACATGCACATCATCACACAATGACACCACAAGCGGCAATTGGTACCTGATCCTAAAACCCGGCACCTCTGGGTGGATTCAGCCCAAAATGATGTATACATCAGCTCCAGTGCTAGCACCACTACTGCCAAGTTCTGCTCCCAGCCAGCCTTAATAGATGCTCGCAAACAGCGCTTTCGCCAACAGTAACAGCCCCTACGGCAGTGGTGGGGAGGGTGCACTGTTTATACGGCTGTGGCTTGGATGAATGGCAAGGGTTTAGGTAGATGTGCCTCGCCTGGAGAGGTGTATATGTTGCAGTGGTGTACTCTATTGTGTGTGTGGTGCGTGCAAATATATATACCCAGTTACAATGTGTGTGTGTGCATATGTCATGTACGTGCACCAATATGACTTGTTTTGTGGTCATATGCACATTGGTCATGAACACAATAGTTCGGTGTAGACGTTCCAAGTTTCATGTTTAGCAGTGTGCTGTGTATTGTTAGCCACATATGTGAGAACATGCTGTGCATTCCATAACTACACATTATATATGCTGTGTATATAAATGTCTGTGTAACACTATACATTACACTCCTATATTGTTCTGTGTTTACGTATACTGTGCATTAGTTCATATGTATTGTGGCCTTTGGTATTGTGCAGCGTATGCATGCTGCATCGCGTTGCGTGGATATGTGTGCATGGGAATTGATGATTATCAGCCATTGATTATCCACTGCTGGATGAACGTCGCCCCACCTCGTTGGCATCCTTTTTGCTCCCTTGATGGCCCCAAAATGTTTTCGTTGGCTTCTCTGTGCCGTGAAGGGCCTTTGGTCGAATCGTCACCTATTGTGGCTTTTTTAAGGCAGTATTATTGAAGAATGTGTCGAGTTTTATTATTAAGTAGAGATAGGATAAATAATAAGAAGTTGGAGATGACACTTTATACCATGGGGCCAGATGAAAATTACATTTGTCTGCTACCCAATAGCTACTGTTAGATACCTATATGCCAATTTAAAAACTGGTCATCAGAAAAAAATGTTATTCTCATCACGCTTCATCGTGTGAAGTGCAATCTCCATTTCCTATTATCCACTCGATCTCTCTGTGTGACATGAAGAAGGGCCATTGCCCAAAACATTGTTAAACATGTTTGTTACTTAAAGCCACTGTTATTGCCGAATGCGCTGAGTCGTCATGAAGACAGTCGTACTTCGTGGGTTTAAATGCTCAAGTGATGACCTGGTCGGAGATCTATATGGGCCAAGTTTGCTGCAGGGCAGTACTTGCCATATGGAGGATGATGAGTAATGGTCGTGGTGTCACCTTCCCGCAGAATGTTTTTTTTTCCATCTCCAAAGAAACGCCTTCTTGTGTCGCCGCCGTGATGCTCCGAAACGCGAGCCCTTTGTGTTGTGGTTGGAACCCGCGTGTCTCTTTGTGCATGTTACGCGTGGGGAGGGGAGTGGGTGGAGGAGCGAGTTGGCCCTTGCTGGGCCAGGGACCCCTCCTCCCTTGGGGCGGCGACTGCCTTTGCTTCCCGCCTCCCAGCTCCTGCTGGCCCCTTGTGTTCGAACCATTGGAGTGCAAGTTTTATTTACCCCTCTAGCCACTTAGCCACGCGTGCCCATTTGCGCCTGTTGGCTTTGGCGATGGGCCCACCGTCGGATTTGCAATGCTGCCAGTTAACTCGTGTGTCATTTTCCCCACCATTTGCCCATTACTAATTAAGACTGAACCGTGTCCGTGCAGGTTGCAAGATTAAGGCGCTTCGGGCGAAGACCAACACGTACATCAAGACTCCCGTGCGAGGCGAGGAGCCGGTGTTCGTCATCACGGGGCGTCAGGAGGACGTGGCCATGGCCAAACGAGAAATTCTCTCGGCCGCCGAACATTTCTCGGTCATCCGTGCCTCGCGCAACAAGCCCGGGGCCCTGGGATTGCCCAGCGGGGGGCCCGTGCCGGGCCCCCCGCCCCCGGTGCCAGGCCAGACCACCATCCAGGTGCGCGTGCCTTACCGCGTCGTGGGCCTGGTGGTGGGGCCCAAGGGCGCCACGATCAAGCGCATCCAGCAGGGTACGCACACGTACATCGTGACGCCGAGCCGAGACAAGGAGCCCGTGTTCGAGGTGACGGGCATGCCCGAGAACGTGGACCGCGCGCGCGAGGAGATCGAGGCGCACATCGCCCTACGCACGGGCGGCCTCATCGAGTTCAACGACGAAAACGACTTCCACGTGAACGGCACCGACGTCGGCTTCGACAACGGCGGCAATGGCGGCGGCTACCAACCCGGCAGCCTGTGGATCCGCCCGCCGCGCAAGCCGTTCTCCACCAACCGCAACGACAGCTCCAGCTCGCTGGGTAGCGGCGGCGGCTCCACCAGCGACTCGCACCTTGGCGGAGGGAGCGGCGGCAGCGGCGGCAGCGGCGGCGGCGGCGGAAGCAGCAGCAGCAACGGTGGCCGCTACAGTGCCGACTTCAGCCCAACGAGCCCGTTCGGCAGCAGCGGGGCCTTTGGATTCGGAGACTCGCTCACATCGCTCAGTTCCGAAGAGCTGCTCATCGAGTCGTCGTCTGGCACGTTGGAGGCAGGCCCCACGGCCCTCCTCTGGGCCCACTTTGAGCGCACCAACCCGCTCGCGGTGCTGGGCAGCCTTCCCGGCCATTTGCACGGGCAAGGTGGTGGCGCTGCAGGGCTCGGGGGCCGGCACTCGGTCGCGGCCATCATCACCAATGGGAGCCGCCTGTCTCCCACCTTCGGCACGGATAACGGTCCACTGCTGGACCACCCGCTGGCGCGGCGCGCGCGCAGCGACCCGCTCACGCAGGGCCTGCCCAAGTACGGGCTGAGCCCGCCCGAGTTGGCCGACAGCTGCGGCAGCGGCAACGAGAGCGACGGCAGCCTGGGCTCCGGCTTTGGCGGCACTGCCTCGGGCTCCCCGGGCGAGATGGCCGACGTGGGCGAGGGCCGGGCGGCCCGCGACTGCGCGGTGTGCCGGGAGAGCGCGGTGACGGCCGCCCTCGTGCCCTGCGGCCACAATCTGTTCTGCATGGAGTGTGCGAGTGGTATCTGTGAGAAGGGAGAAGAGCCCAGGTGCCCTGTGTGCCTCACCACCGTTACTCAGGCCATCCGCATATTCTCGTAATCATAAGCCACTGATGTATAGCAGCGCACAGCCACTGTGTCCCTTCAAGTACTCCTATGTACATCAAAGATAATGCTATGAAAATACAGGTCAGGTATAACCATACTGTATACTCTTTATATTATATATTCACACAGATAAATATATTTTTGTTTTTGACTTGAAGAATGGCAGTATATTTCTTATAATAAATGTTTACTATTTAGTACATTAATTTAATTTATGAGTTTTAAATTGGATTTACTTTTTTTTATTTAGGGTGGCCTTTTGGCTTCTATGGCATGACACTGTTAACTCATTTTATTAACAAGCTCTACTGAATATCGACACAATTGCTGTTTATGCATCGCGGTTGACAGTATTGTATTAAATATTACATAAGAACATAATATACTCATCTATAGCATTTCACTTAGCATGTTTATAATGGTACACTGTATGTGATAAATTCCTCTATATTAATAGAACAAAGAATAACCAATGTGTAAGTATGCTTTTCTATGCTATTTCTATAACAAAGTAGTGAATGAAAATCCATTGCACCAATATACTTTTCTTATTTGCTATTTTAGTATGTTTACCACAAGTTTATGTATATGTAGGTAAAGTTAATGAGTCTATACTTTATTAAACAGAAGTGAAAATATATTTTTATTTTCTGATACAGGCCTTTAACGGTATGTGGCCAAATACTAATATTATATTTGCAGATATGAGAATTAATGAGAATTGTATTGTTTTATTTTTCTGCCGTATTGATGTTCCGCCTAATATCTGGTGGAAGTTCGTTGTTTATTTCTAGAATTTTATTGCACTCAAAAAAAGTTGAAACAAAGTTTAAGCACATGGCGTAATGGTCCTTGTATGAATAGCCGTATTGAACTGTGGAAGATGTTTATGCCGACATGGAAAGTTAGTTTGGTGGATAATAAATAAACTTGACCATTAACATATATGTTTATTGCTATTTCTGCTGTTTCAGACCATCAGTAGAACATGCCTAATTTTATTTTGATCTCAATGGCAAGGTAATTGGAATTGACAAAGGAATACATTGCTGTATGCCAATTTTTTGTGACAATCTTGGAATGACTTAAGCTAAATGGATATTGAGACATTTTCATTTGTACGTGTGTTAAGAAGCTAATGGTCTACATCTGGTGATTAAAGAAGCTAAATAAGACTAATATTTAAAAAAGACGTGTGTATTAGACCGTTAGTCAAGTTTAGGCAGTGACATTCTGCTAGGAATGGTAAATTTTTTCTAAATGTATTTTATATGTGTGTGTATGTATGTATTTTAATGTATTTTTTAAATAAAATATCATTTAAGTTATGCAAGCTCTGATGCAGACTTGTGAGCTTGGAGGAGTGTCTACGATATGTGTACACATCCATTATCAAAGCCATTAACCATAAGTCTTTGGGAAACTGCTTGTTAAATACTAACAATTGGCTTGCTCGAAATCTTTTTCAAAATGCGTCAAGTTAAAAATTATCATTGTTGCCCCTTTTAAATGATCAATGTTGCAAAGAAATGTCTGATGAGTGCTCTTCATGTAATTGTACTAGTATAAAGGTAATAGGTAGATTTTAAACCATTGCATTAGATATATATTTTTTTACCCTATGCAGGCTTTGAAGAGCAATTAAACTGAAATGGAGTACTTGTGATTGAACTATCTTGACGAGAAAAAATGGCATTTTGTGCAAATGAAAACACTTTGCCGGTAGGCGCAATAGCGACAAAATTTATGATGTTTTTCAAATATGCTCACTCTATAAACCGTCGCAGCAAAGGGTTTCCGAGATGTGTAGGTGGAATTTTCAAGGAAAAGGAACCCCTCAGTTCTCGCAAAGACTCGTCACGGCTTCATGCAGGAACAAACTCGCACAACACACTGGCATGGGTGGGAACAAATAGAAAGTTCAAGGGCAGAAACCAAGTGGATTCATGCACTGTCTGAAATAATTTACGAGATCTACTTTCTCTTCCTTTTTAGAGGAAATGTATTATATATGGTTGGCTTGGCTTGTATCATGTGCATGCAAAGTAGTTTACACGTTATGGGAGCTGAACCGCAATAATTCACACTAGTGGTTTTATTGACCTTTACTTTTCAAGCAAAACGGCTCTACTTTGTTTTGTAACCATGCATCTAGGAATTTGAGTAGCTGGATTACGTTTAGGATTTTTTTTCGTTCAAATACAGAGATTAAATGAAAATAGATTTGTACAAAAAAATCCTGCTAAAATAACAGGAAATGGATTAAAAGTTAATAATGTAATTTATCCAGGAAGATGTTGAGTCGACTCTTGGGATGTTGCTGCATTTGTGTATTAATTATCTGTTGGGGTATAAATTATCTGTTGGGGTATGAATTATCTGTTGGGGTACAAAGAGGAGGCAGGGGGGAGCTACCAGTCTTGCAGACAGTAAGATTCTGTCTGCAAGAAATAAGCGATCACTCGTGCTGTGGATGTGGTTCTGCAGTATTCCATCTGCAAAATAAAAAACACGAGCCCCTGCCAAGAAAGGAAGCATGGGAGTTTACTATAAACAAAAAATGACAGCATCACCCAGCAAAAGGTGACATCAGCCCAGAATTTCTCAGCTCACCTTTGCTTTTTTGTCATGTCTGGGTACATCGCTGCAATTGTGACCTCCCCGTTACCACCTCGACTAGGGTCATACGAGTACTTCGAGATTTACATTTAAATGAGCATGTTTCAGCAGTGTCGGCAAAATATTGCACAAATTAATGGAATGGTAGTATTGTAGATGCATTTTATCTTTTTTGTTGGCCGTTTTAAGTTGTAAATAACGAACTTGTTTTTAAATGTGAAATTGATGTTTTCACACCACTTTTGTAGCCGTACAGTGAAAGTTTCTAAAACTAGGCAACCATTTTTATCCAAAAAATGTCACACCAAGGAATGAGAATATATATTTATGGTATGCACGTTTTCATTTCCACATTAGGGTGAAACACCACAGCCCAGTGGCAGGACAACTTACAAGGAATATTGCACATCAACTGACACATGATCGCACAGAATAATTGGCTGCTTGCTAGTTTTTCATTTATTTCATGGGGAGCACTGGCTACATTACACCCTGATCGCAGAGAAGATATTTTGTTTACTGTTGCTGGTGAGATCTGTAACAATGGCACAAGTTCTTAAAATGTCATACCAGACCTTTGAAAACTAATTAATTTGCTAAATATATCTCCGGCCAATCAAAAAAATCCATACTGTGACCTCTAAAGTCCCATCAGCAACTGATGTGCTAATAAGTGGTAATCTTTTTGAACAGCATGCCCATTAAGACAATTTCCAATGATGTCACTGGCAGGTTGTCATTGTTGCTGGGGTTTGCCATGGCTTAGTTGGGTTCTTTTATTAAGTGAAAGGATGTCCTGCTCAAATGTGCATTGAGACAGTTCTTGCCTCTTGTTTACAGCCCTGAGCCAGTGATGGAAATTCCATATTCTTATTGCGGGAGCGAGTGAACCCATAGGGAAACCGCTGTTGACTTCCCCACGAGGCTGTACTCCCTTTATCAACCCTGGATTCTGGAGTAAGTCAACCCCCAACCAGGATTTGAACTGGCAACCTTCGGATTGCAAACTGCTTGCTCTACTGCTGTGCCAGCTTAATACGTTAAATTCATTGTTACATTTTCCAAAGACCATTTAAACATCGTATGTAATATACAGTGGGCAGGGCATTAAGAACACTACTGGATTTACTCTTAACCATTGTAAATCGTTTAGGTAAGTCCTCTCAGGGAAAAAAAAATGCAAAAAGTTGACAGGGCACACAAAGATGTGGCATGACCAGAACCACACCCAGCAGCCTGGTTTTTCTGGTATCGATATTTATATTGTGCACCAGATCGTCAAGGCCGAGTTAATCTTGAGTATGGCAAAGCCAGGTTCAAATTCCACTCGTCCACTTTGGTGTATCAAGCTCAAGTTAGTGGGATTATAGCATTACGCATGCACCACAGTATGCATACGCACATGGCATTACACAAACCAACTGCGTGCATACAAATGTCCTTAAGTATGACCTGAAACTGAGAATTCGTTGACCAGACTATTCAAAAGAAAGTTTTAAAAACATCCGTAAAAGTACCGGTAACTTAACACTGCAATAACAATATTCTGGACTTAAATTTGTCCCTATATCCTCCCAGTGGAAGGATGAGACTAAGTAGTGTGAAATAAAATCTGGGGGTTTTTTAACCAAAAAAATCAATTTCAGAGGGTTGTTCGTAGGAGGAAAAGATTTGTGAGAAGATTGCGATGAGTGGTGGGTTTATCTGTAAACCCTGGAAAGAGTGTGGCTTTGGTTGGGTAGGTAGAGGGTTAGGGCTGACTACTGCTGATAAGGGCTTGGTATTACCAGCAAATTGCCCAGAAACCATGCACACACTGGGAAAATAAGACGTCATGAAGGCGAAAATCGTGCATTGTGGAGCTGTTTTGATTCATACATTTCTGCTGTGGGCTCTGAAACAGCATTGCTTGGCATTGCCATTTAGTAATCATGAAAGCAACCTTTTAGTTGGCTTTGGATGCGCCACTGAATGAAGAGGACTTGATTATGATACTGGTGCACAATCACAATGCGCTGTTAAGTATTGCAAGTGGCCAAGGAAGTGGGGTTTTAAGTGCTCTATTTAGGACATGACGCACTTTGTGACATTTATACCTGGTAGAAAGGGGAGTGGCAGTTGGGGGAGGGGGTTGTTTGAGCTGGTAAACCAATTTGTAATGCGATACCTTTTGTATGTGCTGTAACAGCATTAGAAGGTGGCGTTTTTCGATTATACTCGAACACAAATAAAGGACACGTGCTCGATGACTGAAATGGAGGCGGGGTGAGTGGGTTTGTGAGAGGAGGGGGGAGGGGCATATTCCTCTGGGAAATTCTAAATAATGACATTCTAAGAGTTTTGGTTTTTGCACGGAATTTTTTTTTACCCTGACAGCTGGTCGAAAAAACGGACAGTTGGCAACCCTAATTAAAGGGATGAACATAGTTTGCATGATTTTATTTTCAATCTTATTCTTACAATTCATTGCTATTATGTGTTGAAGTTGGCTGGAACGTCAGCGGGGGGAAATATATATTTAAGCATACAACTTATGTCATCTGACCAAGTTGAATTTTATCAACCACAAATGCGTTGATGTCTGCTTGCTGGAGCAAAATGTTCACATTCTTGGTTCTTTCGGTAAAGTCACGTAGAGGGGAAACAACAAAATAATAAAAAATATAAAACAATAAAATTCTACGTGACTTTACCGAAAGAACCAAGAATATGAATCCCTGCAGTCACGAAAGCTTTAAATCAAAACGTTCACGTTAAAATATGACATGAGGTAATGAATACTGCTGTGTACCTGTCAGTGCCGGGAGAGCAAGCTATATTCGCACTCACACTTGTGGTGCATCACCCTTGACGAAAGGTGCAACGAGTAATGAGGCATCGATTCAATGACTACAGGTGAATCTGACACGATACACACACGTGGGAATCGATTATTTCCAACTTATACAAATCGTACGCAAAACAACACGCTGTTACCCTTCAGGCAAATGAAGCGTACTATGCTCTACAAGCGAGACCGTGTACACAAGAAATACCACAATACAAATGAGGCAGTTAAATGAGAAAGAAAAACAATATTATTCAGTCGAATAGCGACTCTGACTTGTGACAATTCATCAAATAGCAGGGCAGAGTTGGGGTTGGGGAGGGGGGAGTGAATGGTCACATGCATAGGAAATATTCCGTGAGCTTTAAAGGTCTGCGTTCGTTCAAGGGCGCAAATAGGGAGGTGACTGACCACCCTGGCCACTTGGCACTGCCTATCTTCCTGGTGGCCAACCTGAGCATCCCCTCGTCCTACAGAGCAACGAACGAGCCGGTTTCATAACAATTTCCAAGCTCCCGGGCCATTCTGTTGCGCCTACTGAACAGTTATTCACACGCATCGGGGATGTCTTTTACAAGGTTTCAACATGTTCATTCAAGGTTTTACCACATTAAAGTTTTAATCTGCAGACGACGGCAGTTGCATTCCTGTTATATGATTACACAGTTTATTGTTCAAACGGCATTAATTGGAGTCATGTAATAAGGAGATTATGGTTGTTATTGCACACACACATTTACCATTATTCTGTGGTGCACTGGAAGATTCACACTGGTATATCTGCCAATGCGGATGGATGCTGTGATAATGGTTATATAGGTGTGGACCTTTATGAAGTCAAAAAAATAGATATATACATGCTTATATTATTGTGTTTTAAGA